ACCTCCCCCCTCCCGCGCCTCTTTCTAATCCCCATGAATTTTTATCTCACAAATCTCATATTCCTGGAAAAACACTACCCACTACATAAACAAAATAAAAAAAATATACTGATCAAAAAACTGGGAACAGAAAAACAACAGATTTAACTAGCAAAAGGCATAAACAATAACAGTAACACGATGAGATCAATGCGGGTCGATTTCGCCAAGATATATTTTGTTGTCACTTCCTGCAGAGAGTACTGAAAAAAAATATTTTTATTATTTTACCAGAGCAGTGAAATCGTTTGCCTTTGAAAATCCCCTCTCTTCTGTCGTGTTATTCCTTTTTACGCTGTGCTAGATCCAGAAAAGTTTACCACAGAACTACTGAAACAGTCCTTTACTTTCTTCGAGACAGTACTTTCTAATATGCGACGTTTATCGATTGCTGGCAAAGCGAGCAACATGTCCTGTCCATCCATCGAATTTTATTGAGATTTTCCTAAAGTTTCAGCTTTCTAGCTTTTCCCGTTCCCAGGTTAGTATTTTTCGCGCCAAAATTTTCACGCGCTCGTACATGGGGTCGGGCGCTTCTAAACACCTGATTTTGCTCGTACATGAGTGGGGAACATTCCCCTAAAGTTTCAGCTTTCTAGCTTTTCTCGTTCCCGGGTCAGTAATTTTCGCGCCAAAACTTTCACATGTAGCGTACATGGATCTCGAGCGCCTCCAAACAACTGATTTTGATTGTACATGAATAGGGGACATTCCCTTAAAGTTTCAGCTTTCTAGCTTTTTTCGTTCCCTGGTCTGATTGTTTATAACGGTCACAATGTGAAACTTCAAGCATCTTTCGCTCCACTGCTCTTTCTCGCGCAGTTTGTGCTTACATAGGAAAATATACCACAATAAAAGCTTTTTTTCCATTCCTTAATTTATAGGGAGCCCAATTCTAGGAACGAGAGACGGTCCAACTTGAGCGTTACATGATATTGTACAACTGACAAAAAATTGAAATATTTGGGTGAAACAGTAGGGTTTATATTCAACAGGATCCAACGAGAATTACTGTATCATTGCAGAAAGGTATGCAAAATTTATGGGTTACGGCCGTGCCATGTTTTCCACGATTCGGACTGGCCGTTTACTTCAGAAATAACGGTTCGACCTATCAAAGGCCGCAAATTATTTATCAGTTCAACTCACTCCGGTCGCTCCACTTGGTCCGTCCACTTATGATTCGACTTTCTAATAGCCGCTATTTATCATTCATATGTTAAACAAATACACTGCACTGGAGAGCCACGTGAAGGCCTGAACGGCGATACCGCTGATGCAGCAATATATCAATAAATTCTCGAACAAATGGAAAAAAGCTTACGTATCGGCTCTTTCGGATGGAAATCCGTGGCATTCACGGATCCCTGATGGCCCGGCAACTTGTAAAGCACTCGTCGCGACGAAACATCCCATACATAAACGTATCGATCACTCGATCCACAGCTGATACGATGACTACTCGGTGACCAAGCACATTTCAGCAAATTCTAAAATATTTAGTGAACATTTTCGAAAAAATAAAAGAACAAACCCCAAATCTTGCATAGAAAAATATTCCTCCATCAAAAAACATTGAATGGTACTCCTTGCAATTTCCATATTAGCTTACAGAGTTTATCAAAGGATCAAAATGGCTTTGGAATACCTTTTCAAAATTATGTTGATGTCCACCAAATGATTTCACACATCGCTGTTCAGGTGCAAACGGCCTGATATCCCAAATTTTCGCTAAAAAAATGAGCTTAATAAGAAAAACGTTAAAAACAGTTCTACTCAAACATCTTTACAGTCTTCCCAATTAACTGCATTAACACCAACGAAAACGGCAGCACTAATAATTTGCGTTTGTGGTACTTCACAGTTAACAAAGCGATTT